TCAGGGATGGTGATGCCTCCAAGGGTTGCTTTATCGTATAGGATTCTTTTACACAGCCGGCACTCTTACTGAGACATCTTCCAGTTCAAGTTCCTTAGAATTTTGAAAATACTAAATCCTGAGATGATTATTTACAAAATTACCTATGCTTGGTTTGCTATCTCAAATTTGCGTAAATGGATGGCTGTCTTCTGAGACACATTATGTTATAGATCTGTGCAATATCTGTAAAGAAGAACAGGAAATATACTAGTGTACACTCCTCTCTTTCCTGCTTACTTATGGAAATGGACGGTTTTATACCTAGATTAGCCTGCACTGTGTTTGACAACTGTGAGACACTAGCTGAGCTGACTAACAGGAAATATGTGAATTAGTGGCTCTCCTGGAATTGTGCTGCATTCATATTACCTGAGTGTGCGACCTAAGTGAGATTCTGGTCCCAACCCTAGGACTGCTGATTCAGGTTTGGGGTAGCGCCCAGTAATGGTGCATTTGGAACAGGTTCCCAGCTGCTACTGGCCTGTGATGTAGGATAAAAACCTCAGTTGTGAATATGTGTGCTCACTGGCTTTTCCCTGGGGATCTTCACAGACAGGTAGATGGCTTGAAGCAGAGGATCGCGGGGAAATCTCTTCCAACTGAGAAGTTCGCTGTGAGGAAGGCCCGTCGGTACTCACCCTCCTCAGGGGCCCCAGGAAAGCTCGTCCTGCCCGCCCTGGTACCTGCTTTTCTTCACTGTTTACATACTAGAGATGAATTCACTGTTGAGAGCATCAAGGAATATATTTACCTTTGGTTGTGAAGCTTAGAGCTCAGTGAAGAACTAGTGTATATTTATACATAAATTAATTTTTAAAAGTTGAAAATTTCACCTGAGGCTTTTTGATTGGCCAGTACGTTCTAGACAGTGTGAGAAATCCTGTCACTTGATTTTCACCGGAAAGGAAATCGCAGTCTCAGCTCCATGTTTCAGATGAGGAAGTTGGAACCTAAGGGAGAAAAAGATGGCTTCACTAAAGTGGAATTGAATTACAAAACAAACCACAAATTCAACTTGACATTTCTTAAAGAGCTGTGTGCAAAAAAAGTCAAAGGAAACCTTTAAAGAATACTCTTTCACGAATACAGTTTGTTTAATCTGGGCGTGGCGGCTCTACCTGTAATCCTAGCCCCTGGGCCGCCGGGGCCAGAGAATTGCTGAAATTTGAGGCCAGCTTGGGCTGCATTCCATAGTGAACTACAAAAAGAGACCTTCACAAACCAGCTGCCTTCCCCACCCCTGAAATATGTCTAACCCATGTAGCAAAACTTCACCGTATTGATGTGGAATTGTAAGCGAGGGAACCTCATCCCTGAGCTGTGCCATGTCCTTTTACATCACAGCAGCCTTTCGTAGACATGGCTTTCCCACCAGAGAGGAGCTTCCTTTTGGACTAGCGTGTTCCATGGCGGAGGGGCCCTGGGCTGCTAGCTGCCCCAGTCCTGATTGAGCTAACCTTCCTAATCACCTCAGTTTTGGCAAAGCCTCTTTGAAAACATAATTTGACGGATTTTTAAAACAAAGCCTTGTTTTAAGAGTGTTGGATATGCCACACCGCCATGACTCTCCGGCCTTGGCACAGGAAAGTATTTCTGGTGTCACAGTCCTCCTCTTGGTTGGTTCTGTGAGCCTTTTGTAACTTGGGGGATCTTTTAATCATTCTCCTTTGAAAGTTATGTAGCATTCTCCAGTTTTTTTATTGTCATAGACATGTTACAACGAACATCATTTACACGTACATGTAATTCTCTGGGAATGTTTTCAAAGAAATGGATTTCTTAGTTGAAGGCTATGTGTTAATGTTTGGATAGATAATGTTAAATTTCTTATCCCCCCCCCCCAATACTGTATCAATTCAAATGACTGATGATACATCCTCCTTTTAATTTGCATTTCTATGCTAACACTTTTGGGTGTCTTTGTGTGTTCATCATTTTTAGTTTTTTTCTGCATTGTTGTTTATATCCTTCTTTAGTTTCACTGGGTGATTTTTGTTTTGTTGCTGACTCTCAGAAGTTCTTCCTGTGTTTTAAGAGGAATAAGAATATAGCCCCTGACGGTTCAGACAGGAGCTAGCCTGCAGCGAGCACCTAGACCCAGGTGTTTCCCACAGAACCGAAGATTAGAGTGCCAGGGTGGGATGGAAGTGTGGTGGACCTGCACTTGTGTCCTGAGCACAGACAGTAACGGGAAGACTGTGCTCAGCACAGACCGCAAACCCCTCCCAGTTGCTGCCTGCCGATGCCCGAAGCGGCTTTAGCTCTGTTCCACATTCATTGATAGCAGGTGGTTTGCATTGGCAAAGAACTTTCTATGTCAAAGAACTTGCCAGAAACTTTACTGGCCCATTACATTTCTTTGTCTACATTAATACTTAGACAGTGGAATATCTAGGCCTCTATCACGGTTTGAGTCACTGAAGGTTGGTGGGTACACAGTGACGAAGAATTGACTAGAATTGGTTATACCTAGGGATGTTACCACAGCCTGTTTTTCATAAAAAATTCAAACCAAGCTTGCTTCTTCCTTTGATAAATACTATATCCATAAAAAAATTTAAATCCTCGGTTTAAAAATGTCATCACTGAATTGTGCTTTTGGTTTCCACTGCCGTAAAGCAAGCCTGACGCCATCATTTGCCACTTCGTTTCCATGGCTGCTCTGGCTAAGAGGACTCTCAAACAATATCTGCCGTATTTTAAAATTCATGCTCGTCGTATACCCTTCAAAATACGAACTGCACTATCTGGACATTAGAAAAATATTTTCAAGCAAAAACACATTTGCTTTTGATCCAAAAAAAATTCTCATCTGTTAGCCCATTAAATATAATCTGCAAGGAGAAGTCATTAGTTTACATTTCAGGAGCTGTCATTCAGCCATATGGCCTTTAAACAAACGTGTTTTCTGCATATTGGATCACATTACTGGGCCGACACATGTTTTTAATGATATAAAAGAACCTGAGCCCAGTAAAATAAATATTCCAATGATCATTTCTAGTGATATGCTTGGAAACACTTTATGTAAACAACTAGCAGACATTTTAAAATATTTCCCTTTACTTAAAAGCAACAACAAAAAATTACATTAAACAAAATTGTTCATAGTGTCAGTTTTAAATATTATTTTACTTCTGTATCTATATTCTATCCAAAGAAGTGTATGCTGGTAGATAATTAGTGTGTGTTTGTTGAATGAATTGATGAATTTTTACTAAGGGCATAAGATATATGCTCACTTAACCCAGAGCCTGACAGACAAAAGGCATATAGTAAACCCAGGGGAAATTATGTCACTAAATTACAAATGAAGAAAGGTTAGAACAAGATCCTGACTGTCATGTTGAAGTCCTTAGCAGACAACCTCACCTATGCTCTTCTTCTATCCTTCCTCCGTAGGAGATGATGTACGTCTGGAATGGCTTTTCAATAGTGGGCAAAAGAAAGGACCTTTCTGAAAACCTCTTGGTGACTGTGGAGAAGGCTGAGGAGGCTTTGCAAAATCAGAGTAAGTGTAGAGTCTTTGTCTCGGCTCTGTTTCCTCTCCAGTCTCTCCCTAGTGCACATCTGCCCATGTGGATCTGTGCATCTCAAGAGCAAGACTTGAGCTGGTGTCTGGGTGGTTGTCTTCAAGATAAAGGGAGGATGACACTTTTTGATCCACCAGTGAATGGATGCCTGCCACAGAAGAACATATAGAATGTGGTTCCACTGTTACGGCACAGCCATTGTGGGACAGTTTAAAGATGGATCAGTTAGCATTTTTGTAAGGAATTGCTTTTTTTCCCTTAGTCTTTTTCTGCTGCTATAACAAAATAATATAGGCTAGGTGATTTATGAAGGAAAAAAGTGTGTTTTCCACGGGTCTGGAGACTAGGAGGTACAGGATCAAGGTGTTAGAGCTGATGAGGAGCTGCTTCTTGCTGCCCTTGTAGCATGGCAGAAGCATCACATGGAGAGAGACTGAGACACACAGCACTCATCACCACCCTCTTAAAGTTCTTCCCTCTCAACACTGGCTGGGGACAGTTAAATCTCAGGATGTTTTAGCACCTCTGTGTTGTGGTTTGAGTGGTTCCATTGCTTTATGTTCGGACCCACAATACATTCTATGCCCTCTTCTGGACTCTATGGCCACCAGGCATACATGTGATGCACAGACATACATGCAGGCAAAACACTGATACACATAAAACAAAATTAAATAGTAGTCAATCTAACACAGATAATCTTTGCTATTTTATTGTGAAATTATTGTTAAAAGAAAAAGATTTTCTTTTGTGGAAATCAATACAACCACATAGTTTGAAATTGAGATAAAATGGAAGTATATTAAAAATAAGATTTAGAGCAGGTGGTGGTGGCACACATCTTTAATCCCAGCACTTGGGAGGCAGAGGCAGGTGGCTCTCTATGAGTTTGAGGCCATCCTGAGTTTATAGAGTGAGTTCCAGGACAGCCAGAGCCACACAAGGAGACCTGTCTTGAACTCCCCCCCCCCAAATAAAAATAAAATAAGATTTAGGGACTGGAGAGATGGCTCAGTGGTTAAGAACACTTGCCTCTCTTGCAGAGGACCCAGGTTCTATTTCCACCACCCATATGGTAGCTTATAACTGCCTGTAACTCCATTTTCAGGGGACCTGGCCCTCCTCTGCTGGCCTCCATGGTCACCAGGTGTGTATGTGGTGGTACACATTGCATGCAGGCATAATACTCATATGCATAAAATAAAAACCAGGTTTTTTTTAGAATAAGATTTTATGAGATGGACTTCTCCAAAAATTCAAAATTTTGAACAAATTTAGTAGTGCTCCTTGTAGTTCAATGAATTTAACTATAGATAGCTTTTGCCTTTATGAGAATTCTCTAGATTAAAGCCTGCATATTTACAAATTAAATGGATGAATGGATGTTTATGTGAGAACTGGAAAGTAAAGGAAAACATTTCTGGGGGGTTATGTGAAAACAGTTGTAGGATGTTTCCCCGAGAAAAAAAGCCAGCTTTCGTCCTGTGTTACGGCCCCCACCTCCCCCTGCACAGATGGGTTGGACTGAGTAGGATAAACTTCCATGCACGAACCCGGGTCTGGAGTCCTCTGTTACGCTCCCAGCTCCCGAGAATGGAGCCCTTGTCAATC